GAGCAATCCAGTAACTTTAATGGGAACAGGCCCCATATTTGCCACACACAGGGATACCATTAGAAGCTTCTTTCCCATAAGGGCAGCACCAGATTCAATGGGGCTACATCAATGTACGAAAGCAGAGAATTTGGCTCTCCATCAATCCAGTAATTATGTAAGCCAGGTTCAGCGTAACATAGGCTTTCCCATAAGGTTTCCAGGCAGACATCTTACAATAAATAACTCTGAAGATAATCCTAAAGTTGGCCACTTACTGCCCTCATTTTAATCCCTGACTTGAAAAGGACTTTCTTTCTCAGAACTTGAAAGTCTCTCCTGTTTCTCCCCCTCATCCAAAATGCTACAACATAGCAGGCCAGGCTTGTTTCAGGACTTTAGCAGGGGGTAAGCACAACTCTGCATGCTTCATATGAAATACACTGCTGGCTGTTTCATTTCATAACCAGAAGAACTCATCAAAGCACAGTCTCCTTCATGCTGCTTGGCCTCTCCAGTGAAAGACAAAGGAGCTAGCTTTAGTCCTGGATTACATTGGCTTCTGCTGACTAAATTCCTGGGCAATGGGTCTATATTCTCTGAACAGACTCTCAAGTGCTACACCTACAAGTCCCTGGAACCAACACGTGGCTGATTTACACACACGCCTTTGCATCTCAGGGCACCGCATAGAGCAGAAGCTCCCTTAAATACTAGGCAATGGGAGAGAGAGAGAGACATGGCAACTCCCCCACTTCCAAATCTTACACAATGCACCAGACACTCTCCCACTTCCAAATCTTACACAATGCACCAGACACCAACAATCCATTCCAGAGGCGAGATGTGGCTCCCCACACTCTGGGGGTTGGGGAGAGCAAGAGACAGGCTGGAATGGGTTCGGTCCTGGAAGCAGTCCTGGATTCAGCAGTCCAATTCCTTCCCACCTTTCCTCCCTGGAAAACAGCCTTCTTCCACCACTCACTAAGGTTGGTCCTATAGCTCATCTAGCTAAAGGCTTGGGAGTCAGATCCTGCAATGATCCAAGATTTGGGGAGTTGTTAGAGTTGCACATTACAGAATCTGCTATTAGCTTCACCACCCCAATCACACAAATTACACACAAAAAGCTGCTTTAAAAGGATGTATATAGTGATATATCCATGATGGTCCCAGGATAGGAGACAGACTAGTAGGTGAGGTCATATCTTTTACTGAACCAACTTTTGTTGGTGAGAGACCTTCACTTCACCCACCTTATGCTTGGAAGGCATAATGTTATTTATGTTAAAGAATCAAACAACTGAAAGGTAGGAAGTGCCAGATTTAGGATTACAAACACAGTCCACAACCAAGTATTCATTATGGTATGGTCTTTACAAAATCATACCATTATTTTGCTAGGATCCTGCCTTATTCTGAGCACAGATTGGATGCCCAAGGAGTCGGTTTTCCTAATCATTCTTAACACAGCAACCTAAATAGTGTTATTTGAACATTGTGTGTGTGAGAGTGCGAGAGAGAATTTGAGTGTATGGTGATTGGTTCTTTAGTTTCAGGAAGGCAATATAACAGACTCATCAGGTTGCCAGCAGGAAATTCGAGAAGGGATAGTTTTAAAATATTTCCTTTGCAAAAGCTTCTAAATATTATGAAAATTCAGTTTTCTGAATTTGTTGCATGGCACTTAAAAAAAATACAGTCAATCAAGTATAAAACATGAGTCTCCACACTTAACTAGAGAGTCTCCAATGAGGTTGCCTCCCAAAGATTGTATTGGGGGACCTTGGTGCAATCAGTGGAACCTCTTCTCAGCAAGACAAGCAGAAGAATTTTTGAGATTCCATGCCAACTTGTTTGGTGACACAATGACCCACCCCAAAAAAACCTTCTAAGAATATTTTTCAAAAGAGCCAACAAATAACTACCCCTCCATAATACAAAATAAAGACAAACCTGGGAAGTATGAAGAGTTACACGGCTTTCCCCACCTCCCCACTTGGTTTCCTAAACCACTTAAATACAATCAATTATATTATTTCGGTTCAAATGCTCGTCGCCTCGGCTCTTTCTAAACCTTCCCTCTTTGCCAAGCAGTAGGATCAGCAAGACTTAACCTCCCACATGACTTCAAATTCTCTGGCAATTAGAACAAGGCCTCTTAGGTGCCTCCGTGAAGGCCCAGACATATTTCAAGAGGGAATGAGGATTTCTGGCTGTTTAAGCATTAGCAGCTAGTCCCACTTATGGCCTCAACTACTTAACAAATTAAAAAAAAAAAAAAAGACTCCCACTCCTAACTCTGTGCAGTGATTCATACAGAATTGGGGTACCAGGAGGGAAGTCAGATATTTGGCTTTACAAAAGAACAGCTGAATACATGAAAAACAGGCACTATCACCAAACAACTGTGGCTCCAAACCAGCCATAAATTACTTTAACATACTTGGGGCTGATCCTTACCTAGTGCAAACCAAATAAATCAATGGAGTCATGTGACACTAACTGCGGATCGGTCCCATCGGCAATTGGTGCCTGCGGGGGAAGGAGGGGTGCAGGGAGGGACACAGAGGAACAGGGAGGGGGCATGATAACAATCAAAATTTTGGCAAAGGTATCAAGTACGGTGGGGGGAGGAGTGGGGCAGAGCACTTCTTAGGCGCTACCATGACTCACCTACGACCTGGTCTGTATGTGTCACTATGGAATGCAGTCAACACAAGACAGAATCATTTGTCACCAGACTGTTTCTATTGCTCAGCTTGGAGGGAGGATTTCTTGGGCTGTGTCCAGACTCAGGGTTTTTTTCGAAAAAAGTAGCCTTTTTTCGAAAAAACTTCACCTGCGTCTAGACTGCAGCCACGTTCTTTCGAAATTAAATCGAAAGAATGCGGCTTTTCTTTCGACAGCGGTAAACCTAATTCCTTGAGGAAAAATGCCTTTTTTCGAAAGTGCTCTTTCGAAAAAAGGCGTTCTTGAAAGCAAACAGGCTTTTTAGAAAGAGAGCATCCAGACTCACTAGCTGCTTTCTTTCGAAAAAGCGGCTTGCTTTTTCGAAAGTTCCGTGTGCAGTCTAGACGCTCTCTTTCGAAAGAGGCTTTTTCGAAAGTATCTTTCGAAAAAGCCTCTTTCGAAAGAGGCTTGCAGTCTAGACATAGCCTTGGTGTCATACAGTGCATCAATAAATGGCTTTAACTGTCTGTGTGTTTATTTTGTTATCTGATGTAAACTAAGCTCCTGGAGACAATCTGAGGCAGATATTTAGTACCACTATAAAAGCCAATCAACCAGCAACAACATTTATAATTTATTCCGCCTTTTGATAAAGGGCCATCTACAACCAACTAATTTGGCTGGATTGTTTCCGAAAAGCCTCTTATTGCCATTCCATTTTCTCTTCTCTGACCGGCTTTATTCCTACAAGTTAGTTTTGCACCTGGATTTGAACCTGAAAATGGCTGAGCAATTTCACCATCAGCAGGACTTGGGGGCTCTCGGCATTGTGAAGGATCCGGCTCCTGCTTTCTAATTTTTGGGTGTGTCGGAATCCTGTCTTATTCTGACTGATTGAAATCTATACCAGCATAATTATTCACTGTCTCCTGAGCATATGACATGCGTATTCTTGGCTCAGGTCCTTATGGGGTCTTGTTAGATACTAAATGTCAAGCAAAATTTCTGAATCTCTGAATTCTGTAATGCTTTAACTACAAAGTAAATTTTTTTTTTAAATCTGGGTGCTAGTGAGGAACAAATACTGTTGAGAAATAGGGCAAAATCACTCCTGCCCTCAAGTTGGATATTTCATTAAGTTGGAAAAATTTGGCCTGGTGTATTAAAATAGAAACCCTCTGCTGACGTAAATCAGCATAGCTTGACTGACTTCAGTAGCTGATTTCTACTAGTCGAAACTCTGGCCCACTCACCATTTCTGACTTTCCCCACATCATATTTTCCAACCGGTTTTTATTTTTATTTGGAAAATGATCAACTCTATCCTACTCATTACCTTGCCGTTACAGATCTGAAACAAATCAAACCACATCATGCATCTGCTGATCACGTTCAAATAATTACTCCAAAACAAAGTTTGTTTTAAATGTGGAATTACTGTTCAGCTGGCAGAGAGGTCTCTAGCTAGACAATGTACAGATTAAGAAACAAATATCAGATTTTTATCAGTCTTCTCAGCGCTGACACCTGAAAAGGTTTCAAGGAAAAGGAAAGCGCTGTGCTCAGATACAGACAAGCTGACTCGGTCTTCCCTTGCCTAAATAAAGTTTAATAAGACACACTTACATGCTGTGCAAGTTGCAAGAACATCACACAAACTAAGGGAAGTTTCTCAATTTTTAACAGAGAAGCAACTTCTGAAACTTGGTACAGCCACAGGAATTTCAGAGCGAGTGCAGATTTTCAGTGGCTATTAATTTTACAAAAGTTCCTTGTAGTTACAAGCAGAGGAAGGAGGGTGATGCCACACTCCCACCAGGGACCACTGGACGAAATCCATTGCAAGTGTGTTTAGGAATCCCTTTTTTTCCTGACTTTTTGGTTTCAAGCCCCATTGTCATTTTGCGTGTGCACATATGTGTATTCAGTCTCTAGCTAAATATGACTTTCCTGCCCTCTAGTTAACACCGCATCACCATAAGGAGGTAGCAAGAGTTGACCAATTGAGCATTGTTAGTGTATTTTTAATGGTGACAACACCCAGAGCACCCATCAGGCTAGGATTTTGTATGATCACACCCTCATTGTATGATCCTGGTGCCTCCCACAAAAATTAACACACACTAGATCTCCCTCTCTCTACCAGCCCTGTCAGCAGGACAAGCTAAACGTTAATCTTTTGGATTTTAGTTTAATAAATACATAGGGTCAGATCCTCCTCTGGTATGGCTCCATTGACTTCACTGAAGATAGGCTGATTTATACCAGCGGAGGATCTGGCCTAGAAAGCACAAGGCTACATGAATAAAATCACACATCTGCTTTATAACTAAATCAAGCCCCATTACCTTTAGTGTCACCTTGCAGCGTAGAGGAGTCCAGCTGATGCTGTAGCACTCTGTGCTGATGGAGGGCCCAGGTTCGAGGGAGATGGCCAAATCCGCCATCGCATCCCAGGTATAGCAGAACTCAGTCTTGTTCAGCCAGCACAAGTTCTTCACAAAGGGCTGCTCCATGTCTGGGAAGTTGCCCACCGTGATCTCCACCAGGGTCTTCTCCTCGCTCAGCGTCTGCAGGATGAGGGAGGGAGACCTCCGCTCCCAGACGAGACCACTGATGCTCCCTCTCAGGATCCAGTTCTTGTTTGGCTGGTCCACCACTTGCCAGTAGATAATCCCAATGGTCATCACGAAGAAGACGGCTACTCCTAGGCAGGCAATCGCTCCCTTCCAGGTCTCATTCATCTCCTTGAGCCCAGAGTCCCATGTCACCTCTGGGATTGGACTTTGGGTCCTGGGACGTGCATGGGGCATTTTACTCCAAAGTATTACAGCAATCTCGCAAGGAAATGCTTCTCCTTCAGGACACGGAGCTCTCTCTTTTGGAACCTGCTGGGAAACTCTCTTTAAACTTTTGTTATTTCCCCCTCCTTTCCAAAAATAACTTCACCTCTTCCCCCTCCCAGAAATCAAACCCAGGAAAAACACCTCTCAAATCTTTCTCCACCGCTCAGCACATGTTGCTGAAGGGGAAGTTATTCCAGTCAGCAGTGCACTGGCTGAGAAAAGGGAGAGTGCCTGCAAAACAGAGCTGTAAACGTGTAGTGTCAGATCCATCTCCCTGCCAGATTCGTCCCAGGTGCTTAAGCTGTGACGTTTCTCTGGCATGCCAAGCGGTGCCTAATCAGGAACACTGTCTGTGGACCTATAGAAACAAACATGCATTGAAAAAGGCTTGGATCTCATATAACCATTACATTGGGAGTCCAGGACGGGGAGGGGAGCGGGCAATAGCAGCTGTATAGGGAAAAATGCAGCGTTCTAGTCTCCATGCAGCTTTGGGATCAGGTTTGCAATGCTGCGTTAAGCAGACATGTGGTGCTGAAAGGAGCACAGTGGATATTCGCGGATTATAAAGTGGAGGATGTGAGTGGGATTACCCCAAATTGCAAGTCACTCACATAAGTTTCACAAGTTCTTTAGCCCTCCTTCCCCCAAATATAAGAGTTAGAATTATAATCTACCTGTGGCATAGTAAAAAGCTTCTCTGCAAAGCATAATTTCATTTAGAATCGCAGCTGGTGTAGATCAGCGCCGTTCCCTTGATGCTCATGGAGAGATGCTGATTTACACCAGCAGAGGATCAGCTCAGCTCTCCTAAGTGCTCGGCACTTGGTTTGGTGTCCTGCATGTAAAATAAGTGTGTTTCAAAGTAAAAACCATTTCTTGCTTTTTTTCCTTCTCCCACAGAGAAACACGGACACTAGCTCATTGGCCCAGGTTCCTGCGAAGTCTGTGTGTTAGCTACACCTTCCTGTAACAGTAACCTCTGGAATGAACATTCGCTGACCCATGTCATGCAGGGGTATTAATGTTCCAAAGCCAGACCCAGCTCAGATGACTGGATCCAGGAAATAAAGCTGAATCTTTTCGCAGCGCTCAGGGTGTCACACTTCCTATTCAATAGGGATATGTAAAGGCCTACAATGTTAATTATATTTATTTTGCACAACCTTTGAACTAAGAGGCTATTTCTGAGGGAGATGTTATGAGTACTTGTTCGTCGCAGGGCGTTTCAATAGCTGGACGGTGGCATTGCTATGAAAAGGCAAACTGCCACCTTCCAGACTCAGAAAGGCGCATAACCACAAACACAGCGATGAGTGGGTTTAATCAGGTACCTGTGGGCCCCAGCGCTATTGGCAAGGGCAGTCTTCTTTAGACCTACACTGGCGGGACTCAAAGGGCACGTCATAGTCCCATTCTCCTCTCTCATTTATTTCACAGAGAACATGATCTCATTAAAGGTGGGTCAAAATTAACCAAGTGCTTCCCAAATGTTATCTGATGCACAGAGGTGAAAGGAAGCGGGCACATCCTGATGTCCAGCTGCGGCAAAAGCCAGCAGGGAGCTATTTAAAGAGCTGGCAGGGACCCGGGTTGCAACAGGACAGTACCTTTAAGACATTTTCAGTTACTTTCACCGCTGCTGATGCACGGATGTCATGTGATCACTAATGAGATAGTTTTGATTCCAAGTACATTTCCTGGAAGAGTTCCAAGTGTTTGTCCTAGAAAACCCCACATGACTGGGTCCCAGTTACTGAAGGGACCATCTGTTTCCCACACCATGCTGCCACTGTGAAGGCTGACACATGTATCAATTGCCTTCAAATAAAAGTGAGTATGTCAGGGAATTTTCTATGACAGGATCTCTAGAATCACTGCCCTGCTTGATCATTCATTTACTTCCAGGCAGACTGCTAAGTCTCTTTTCTGCTAAGCATTTAGGCCCAGATCCAACAAAGCACTTAAGTGTGAACTTAATTTTAAGCATGTGACTAGTCCCATTGACTTCAGTTGGATTAGTGATTAGCTTAACTTTAAGTACTTCCCTGGATCAGGGCCACAGTGGGGTTGGGGGGCTCCAAAGAGAAGAGGCCAGAACTGGAAGTGAGATTTAAATGAGGTTTCTCACTATGGGGTGCAGTTGGAAAGAATGCCTTTATCTTTTTGGTGGAAGGCTATGAAAAAAATGCCACTGGAAAGCTGATTAATCAGGGTACTGCAGTGGAATTCTTTTTAGATTTTCTAATGGTGTGTTTACATTTTGAGAGGTGCATAAAGTGCTGGAGACATGCCAGAAACGACAAAAATCAAATCAAATAAGTCTTTGAAGACTTTGCTACTTTATGAACAATCTTTCCAAACTCAGGCTGTCTTCATTGCACAGACTGTTTTCATTGCAATATCTACTGCAGACTAAAATCCTAGTGGAGACAAGGAATTGTATTTTTAACCGCATTGTAGAAAGTCAAGACTAACCCTATAGCTTCCACCGTGCCTTATCTTCTCTAGGATTTGACATCAAATGAGTCAACTCAGTTCTTATATAGAGCTTTTCATCAGTACATCTCCTCATGTTTTACAAATAGGTGGCTTGTTTTGTTAGCCACATGGCCACTAGTATGTATATCACAGCTTTCATAGCTGCATGCCAGTGTCTTTTATATAGGCTCAGAAGAATCCTTTGAAATACCCCACATGCAGCCATGGAAATTAATTGAGAATTTTTAAAAATTGCACTGAGACTGAGTAGTGTATGTTGCTGTAGTTTCGTCCTTTGATTCACAAAGTCAGGACTGAGCAAGATGAGGCCCGGGGCTGGATCCGGCCCATGTGACACTTTGATCTGGCCCATGGACTGCATCTGGCTGCTTTCTATTTATATCCTGCTGCCCATGCCACCAAATTTCCAAGCGGTGGCTTAGGCGGCAGGATCCTGTTTAAATAGCTCCTGTTCATGGCACTGCCCCGGTAGTGATGGGCTGGGAGCCACAAGCCCTTTGCTGTGTTTTTAATGCAATGCCTCAGTCCCCAGCCCTGCCCCTTCTGGCCTAGGCTCCACCCCTGCACTAAGTGCAACTCTTAAAATCAGGTGTTTAGTGCAAATACTAGAGAGACAAGCTGGTTGAGGTGAGATGAAGAAGAACTCTGTGTAGCTTGAAAGCTTCTCTCTCACCAAAAGAAACTGCTCCAGTAAAAGATATTCCCTCCCTCCCCTTATCTCTAATCTCCTGGGCCCAACGTGACTCTCACAGCAGGACACCGTGCAAATACTCATAATTATGGGTTTGAAAAGTGCTGTCTGCAAGCGTCCTGCCGAGTTTGTTTAAAAATTCACTGTCCGGATGAACAGACCCTTTAGAGACGCATACAAAGGGCCCAAACACTATCAAAGCAAATTCATTTTCAAATCCAAATGCGCAGTCACAGAAATGTTTCTTGCTGCATTCGCGCAGCTCTAATTGAGAGGGGCAGGAAGTAATTAAAATCGTGCTGTGGGATGGGGGAACGGTTATACTGCGTGCTGACATCTACGCGGAGACTCTGAGCCTGCGCCCTGTAATGCTTTGGCAGACAGCTGCACTGCCATCAAGCACTACTGCCTTCACTGGAGTGCTGTGGGAATGCCGTGTGCTCTAAGGGATGCGGATCACAGTCAGTGCACTAACAAAGACTTAACTCCTGGGCACACAGCCCCAAGAACACAATCAAACAGAGGCTCTCCATTGACAAAGGAATGGAAGGTCCCCTGGCGAGGACATGGACCTCATGCTATTTTAATTTTTTAAAATCTTTATTGCTTTCATTTTGTGATTTTTTGTTTTCTGTGTTTCCAGATAAGCCTTTCTTGGTTTACGGCACATGTAACAATTTGATGGGGACAGGGATTGCTGGACACAACTCGCTTCATCCCATAATGACAGCTGAGTCAACAACAAAGTAACCCTCAAATTCCAGTGGGGATGGTCCTAGTATAAAAACTAGGTGGAGACAAGCATCCAGTCAAAAGCCAAGGAACCACGAGGATCCACCCATGTGAGGTGCTAGGGCTAGTATAAGTCAGTGGGCTTGTCAACATGACGGAGAAGATCGACACTGCTGCAGTCGATCTTCTGTGGTTCGCATTAGCAGGTCTAGTGAAGACCCACTAATTTGAACTGAGAGGGACACTCCCATCGGTGCTGGAAGTCCTGCTCCTCATGAGGAGTAAGGGAAGTCACCAGGAGCATGTGCTCCCGTCAACCTCCCATTGTGTGGACAGCACCAAAATGCGATTTAAGTTCCTTCGACGCCAGCCATGTTATTAATGTAGCTGGAGTTGCGTAAGTTAAGTCGACTTTCCCCTTTCGTGTAGACCAGGCCAGAGTGGGCACCAGGAGTACTTTGGTGGTTGCATCGTTCAGTACCAACTGACCACCTTAAGGGAAAAATAACTAACCCCAACATTTGGAAGCTGTAGCATATCCCAAATAAGCAGCACCTCAGAGAAGAGAGAAAACAAGCCCCCTCCTCCTCCATAAAGGACAGACACTCATACCTCGCAAACACAAAATTTAAAAAGGAAACTAACAGCTTTGAGCTTGGCTCTGAAGGATATTGCAGAATTTCATCTATCAAGGGAGGGATGATTCTCTAGCCACAGACTTTTGCTGGAAGAGGCCTTACTACGTTACGCCGTCCGGTGGCCAGCAATTCCATCCTGCAGCTTTTAGTAGCCACAACGAAAGACAGGGCAGCACTCAATCCTTCCGGCAGAGCCTTCGGGGGTGAGCCACAGCTTCAGAGCACTGCCCGTGAGATCTTGATACACACTTGCCGAACAACAGGCAGCCTCTGCAGCTGTCAGAGCCAATGTGTCAGCGATGCTTGTGGGTGAATGCCCTGGAACAATCGCATTGCTGGGCTCTGCAAGAGCCGGGTGCGGTTTTCAACGGCAATCCTTAAATGAAATACCTTTGAGCCATCCAGCATAAAAGTCCTGCAGCTACAGAGCGACTGGAGGAAGGTCCGTGAGGACAGGAAGGTGCCACCTCGCAGTGCGGAGCATTGCTGGGCTCATGCTAGCTGGCAGCTATTTGAAAATGGTGTGAGCCAGCCCTGAAAGGAAGCACGGGGCAGAGAGAGCAGAACCAAGGAATTTTAAAAAGTAGAACCCAGCTGGTTTCCCACAATGCACAGTGAAAACAATCCCAAGCTGCACACTGTTCAGTAGTGACACAAAGGATCGTGGGACATCCCCAGAGAATGCTACGCCCTCAATTCACAGTGAACCACCACCGTGTGCTCACAGGATGGGCATTCGGCTTGCATGCTACTGGTGTGACTCCACACTGGGCGTTACCTGACGCA